GACAACTGCGAATTTGGCCAAACTTCTTTTCAAATATGAGGGGTTGGAGTCATTTTAATACAGAACATAAGAAATGAGGATAAACGATGAGAAAGTATTGATTCAGAGGGACTTGAGAGCAGCACATCGTAAAAAACATCTGCAGCTTTGGAGGAACAAATTATGATGAAGAACATGATAAAAAGAAAAATGGGAGGAAACTTTCATGAAAGATACTTACAAAGAGATTTCTAGAAACATTTCAAATCAATGCAAGTTCTTCTAAGAATTGAAAAGTACAATGGGCCTGTTGCAAACTTTTGCTAGAGCAGAATGAAGAGTTGTTTCCTATAGATAATGCCTCAAAAATCACGATGAGCGCATCGGCAAAGTCTGAAATGCACTCATAACTTCACAATCTGCGTAAGAAATTTGCGTTATTTTGAGCTTCCCGCTTCAAAAACGATACTACTGCACAGGTGAACATTTTGTTAGAGGAGTCGCTCCATCGTCGGCAATATTCATCATGGCCGACGCTTGCGCAGTTCCTCGCGTAATTCGAGGAGAGTTCAAGGTCAATTAAGGCGGGCGAGGAAAATATGAACGTAAACACGCCGATTGTTATATGGTTTAATCCTGTTCAAGTGTTATCTCGTCCTATCACACGTGTTTTGGCGGACTGGCGTCGGCCATGATGAGTATTGTCGCCAATGGAACGACTCCTCTAACAAAATGTTCACCTGTACCGTAGTATCGTTTTCGAAGCGGGAAGCTCAAAAAACCGCAAATTTCTTACACAGATTGTGAAGTTATGAGTGCATTTCAGACTTTGCCGATGCGCTCATCGTGATTTTTGAGGCATTATCTGTAGGAAACGAACTCTTAGTTTTGCTCTAGCAAAAGTTTGCAACAGGCCCATTGCTTCCTAAGAACAATATTTTATAAGTAAGAAAGTTTTTAGAGTATGGTTATTTCATATGAGTTAAAAGTTTTTTTCTCTGAATTGACATTAGTTTTTACTGGGACTATGCTCTACAAAAAAATGAGCTACGGAATCAAAATAAAGTTTGGAAGTGATCAACTGAATGATTTTCACTCTTTTGGGTAAATGAGAAACAGAAGAAATGTGTATAAAAATTTAGGGAAAAATTTCACCTGACATCAGTTTTCTGTAAATTATATACTACTACGGGGAGAATGATAGATGCTGGAAGAAAATTAATATTTAAAACTGAATTGCGTTCAGATTCCACAGTTCTACGTTTAACTGAAATACATGTAACATTTATAACAAGTGATAGGGGAAAGAAAAGCATACGGAGTAAACTCAGAGGATTAAGATAGAAACTTAAAACTTAAACAAAAATAAAACTGTCGAACTTAGACATTTTAAATTTTTTGATCAGTCAGTTACATCAAGAGGTTACAACCTGATTTTTTCAGGTAAAAATGCATGGAACCGATGCTAACACGAGTAGAGATTTATTGGTAGCACCGAGTTAACAAGAAAAAAATAAAAAATGACGAAACAATCAACTGGAAGATTTTAAAGCTAATTTAACTTCCCCATCTTACTTGAAGCGCAAAAAAAATTGATGTTTCTTTTTTAATGTTTATTTTTGACATTAACGAAGCAAAAGCAGCTGCAACTAACTTAAACAGCAATTATATGAGAAAAATCTCAAGCTAGCTCTCTATTTTTAATTTGTTTCAAAATTTTAAATCACTCACCATTGTAAAACAAGCTGATACAGTGGATCAGGTACATGAATGAAGCAATCTTATTTTGAGAACTGAATCTAATGTACAAGCAGAAAATAATAATCGACTCATATGGCGATTATATGCATTCAAAATCGATGGTCCTTTAAAAATAGGGTGGTTGATGCTATCGACTAGGCTAGTACACATCATGACTTTTTCAGGTACGATCGCATTGATCGGTGATGGATTTTTCATGCATTGCTCCTACAGAGGAGTTGACAAGATTCAGGTAGAGGAAATTATCATGCACTAATGGGACAAATAAAATTATCCTCGTGTGATTAAAATATAATTTATGCTGCAACTGACCCTTCTGATCAGAGTTTTAGAAAAGGCCTGGTTCAAATATTATTCAGAGAATCCCTACGTCTTGATTTCTCAATACTAGAAGGTTAAAATATGCATGCATCTTTACAGGCTAAAAATGTATTTAATGAAAAAAGACTAAAAAGACAAAAAGGAAAGAGTCTGATGAGTTATACAACCAAATGAGGGTGGACGAAAAAGGGATCTAGAGGATTGGAGCAGAAAATCTTCCAGTCTCCTTAAAGATACATCGTTTGTGCCTGCCGATTAAAATTTACAGATAGACACACAGTGTACACATTGATATACGTAAATAAAATAGTACACGGTTAAATATTACATTGGACGAAAAAGCATTTACAATAAATTAATAAAATATACAGGCGTTGAGCGATTCAGTCCTTTTTTCGTTTGCTTTCACCGGAACTCCAGAGCTGCTAGAAATGCTGGGTTTCAAAAGATGAACAGAGCTCTGGGCAAAGGAGAAAGTTTATAAGAAAAAAATGAAACCTTTTTTTTTAGAATGCCTGATCAGTCAACAGACATGGAGAGAGGGCATTTCATTAGTGTGCGTTTCGGTTACAGCAAAAAATGTGGCGTATAAAAAAGATTTCCGATTAATAAAGCTCATAGTACAAAAATAGGATCAAAAGTTTCACTCTTTTTTTTGTTCAAAAATCAGTCCGAGTTTAGAAAAATCCAAATTCAAAGACTCCTTGAGTTTTAACAAAATTGTAAATCACGAATTCCTGTCTGATTTCTAAACGCCAATTTCATACATTAATTCCTGCGCTTTCGGTAAAGTTCCCTTGAATTTGAGCACGTTGAAAAAATAATTAATGTCAAAGGTAAACTTTAGCAATAAGACAATGTATGAAGAATGATAGGTTTAAAAGACTGTAGTAACGTAAAAACGTGCTGTAGAGGATTACTGAGTTGAATAAAATTTAGAGGATTAGGTGTGTTTTGAAGTCATGAAACTGTCTCAATAAAGAGTATTAATTTGTTTCACTTGTGCCGTCTTGTAGCACTAGTTTTCAGCATTGTCTGAGAAATTCATAACAATCACACATGAACTTTATGTGGAGTCTTAGATGGACATGAGCCCTAATTCGAAAATTCAAATTTTGCTTCAAGAGAACTCAAAATACACTACAAAACCAAAATAAAATTATAGAAGTCACATAAATTAATACTGATTTTAAATGCAATGGATATAGATAAAAACTACATATTATGATTATGGAGTAGAATTTTGAAGAAGAAGGACAATATAATAATCTCAAATTATTCCAAAAACATAGTCTTGTTACTGAAAAGTTACAAAAGGAGAGAAAAAAAAAACTAAAACAAATTGATTCTTATGATTTGCTTAATACTATGAGATTAATTTGTAAACGAAAGGTAACTGATCTGAGACTTTAAGCCTGTCTCAATTTATGAATGAAAATTACATTAAGAGGTGAAAACCGAAAGCGTTTGAAGATATGTAAATTGAGCTGTCCAGAGACGATGATTAATACAACACTCTTGGACCACTGTAAAGCGAGGGAACCTGAAAGTATCATGAGAGTCTGGTCAACAAAGTTTTGAGAAAAAAAATCTTGACTGACTGACTGATAATTACAAAGGATGCTTAGGCATTCCTAGTCAAGGTGCTTCGTCATTACATGTTTCCATGAAACCCATGAATTGATTTGAAAAAATAGTTTTAAGTCCTCAACATTATCAGTTGTTGATGCATATACTGATAAAATGGCTATCATTAGAGTCGAATTGGCGTGCAAAGTAATCAGCAAAAATTGGTGATCACATGGCCAATTCTTGCCAGAAACACTGAATGTCAAAGTTTGAAACCCGTTTTTTCAGTAAAGAAAATTGAGGTTATGGTCCACTTTTATTCCTCTTAGAGTAAAGACACATCAAAAAGACAACCATNGGGGGGGGGGGGGGGGCAAGTTCAGCAGAAATGCACCAATTACTTTCACTCATTTTGGAAAAGACACACCTGCCATTCTGTATACACGGATGCTTTTAAGGATAGAGCACATAGAACATGGCACAAATAAACAAACAAGACAAAATAAAAATTGAAAATGGGTAAAACAAGGTTAGGATAATAAAACAGTAAAAAAGTAGGACAGGAGAGAGTAATCTGATAGCAACTGGGATTAGGTCACCATTCAATTTTTCACTTATTTTGATTGTATCTTGAAGTTGAAAAGGAGTCTGTATCGGCTCAAAACGTCCTTCTTTTTAATGTTTATATATTTTGGCCTTGTTTTACCTAATTTTTCATTTTACATTCTGTAATGTTGAATACCTGCAGTGTTCTGCAATACCTTTGGACCGAACTCTACTTTTTACTATTTCTCTTTAAATTGTGTGCTCACTACTATGAGTCTGATTCAGGAACTTATATAAAATTGATTCACAGATGTCTAACGAAGTTTGTAAGAAAATGAATTTTGAATTAAAGCAAAGTTACCCTGTATGAGGTGTAAAAAGCAATGGCAAAAAAAAAAAAAAAAAAAAAAAAAAAAAAAAAAAAAAACTAAATAAATGTGTTACAATTATTCATGATTTTTTTGAAACAGTCTAGTTTTTGCTATGAGACGAAGAAGACCGTTCCTCTGTAAGGCTGTTAACTTGCCATGTATACCACCAATGATCCTCATAACTTCCTCAATATTAAGTTGGGAAAATCATTTTAATGTGTTAACAATATGTTCTCGGTTTTCTCACAATAAAGTCAAAATATTGCCAAAACTATTTCATCATTGGTTGAGTTTGAACAAGTTTGACAACATACTTGAGGCGAAAACATTTACAGAATGAATTATGAATAAACGCAAAAATCGTCCACCAAGGATGGATCCCACAACGCAAGGAAACCGATTGTTACAAACTTTAATTGATAGGACAGTTAAAAAGACTGCTTAGCGTGACTTACGATACATACATGTACAGTTTACCAACTGGACTAAAAAAAAATTTCTAGAAAGACGATTAAAGAAACAGCTTGAATTGTTCTAGTGCTTGACAAAGTATACTTCACATTTTTTAGATGCTTTCATTCTTGTTAGATTTGAGTGATCATAACGTTCCAAACAGTTGTTGACAAAACTTTTTCGTAAGATTGGCAAGCTCCAGGTTTATGGATGTTATGCTCCATGTGCTCTTGGTATATGCTTTCCCAAAACAGCATTCCGGACCGGAGAAAATCCAAACTCCTTCTAAAACTGAAAATTAAGGACAAAAATTGATTTAGTAATGAGGATAAAAGAGTAAATAAATTAAAATTATGTATCCTCTGAAACAGAGGAAAGTCTAGTTAGGAGACTTGCTAATCTGTGTGAGCATAATTTTTCTTTCTTTTAACTATTGAATCTTGTTTCTTTAATAATTGATGAGATAAGCTCAAGCCAAGAAGATGCAGAGAAGAAGATGCAGATGCCAAGATATGCAGTGTGCACATGTAAGGTATGACCTTGGAACAGGACTTTCACTTAGATTTCTTTCCTTTTAATTATGCTGTTAATCCGATACACAACTCGCAAAATTCCCTGACATCCTAGGCTGCTGGAAACCCTGCGAATAACTTACTCTTCAATGTTGGTCTCCGAGACAGACACAGTTATAGAGAATTGTTTCACATAACTAGCACAGCAATTTAAGGCAGCATAAAATTGGAAAAGAGAAAATTATCTGGGAGCAGCTTCAGAAATTATTTGGGAAAAAGTCTAAACTTGCGTACTTATTAACGCATATGAAACTTACATAATAATTCATTTACTTATTGAACCCGCCGTGCTACATTCTTTCATCCTACATACCGTATTAACCCTCATATCGAACGCACCTTTTTTGGAAAATTCCAGCTCTCGACTCAAGTTTACGTATAGTACTTGCATATTGCCTTGCAACCTGCAACCAAGTTCAGACCGATCCTTGCTGGCCGGCGGTTGCTGTTGCCGAGAAAGTGAGATGTCACTTGCCCCTACTCTGTGTCATACCAGACATACTCCCCTGTGCACTCCTTTCCACTTGTTCTCTGATTCACTGCTTGTTGTACCACAGCATGACATCAATTCCCTTAAATCGTAAATCTTTCTTGCTTATTTTTTCTAATATTCTTTCTTTTATGCAATGCCAAGATAGTTTGGTACGGGTTTAAAACTGAAAGTTATTCAACAGGCCAAAACTATTGGCCGTTTAAAAAAGACATTTTTTTTTTTCGAAGGACCTTAAAATTTGGGGTACGTACAATACGCAGGTAAATATGGTAGCAAGGGCCAAAGATGTGGCAGTATTTTCTTTCAAAAAATTAATGTGAGACATTACAGTTCAGATCCATCTGATCACTTACATAGATGATTACAACATTTTAGTTAGGGCTGTGCGAGTACTCGAATTTCGAGTCGAGCCGAGCCTAGTATCGAGGACTCGACTCGGCTCGAAAGTTAGGTTAGGTTCGAGCGAGTACTCGAACTCAGCTCGAGTGTCAACAACACGAGTTTTTTCGAGTATATTTCGAGTATATTTCGAGTTTTTTTGAGCCAGAAACGCCGAAAGAGTCCAACTTCCAAGTATTTCAATCATACTTCAACTAACGTTAGTTTTGCCATCATTTTACGATTGAATAACATCAGAGTCTCGTCGGCAAATTTCTATCATCCGCAGCGCCAACACGCTACTGCCCGGCGATTTCCTGCCGCCCGCAGTTTGTAAATACACGGAGTCATATGAGCGCATTTATGCGCGCGACCAATTTCAACCTGCGGCGGCGACCGCCGCTTGGAAGACTGAAAGTGAGCACGTGTTTTGGACCTTTTGCGCTCCAGATAAACGGTGTCGCGGCGGCAGAAAAAAGGTGCTGCGGCTACAAAAATATGGATCGCGCGATTCCAAAAAACGTCGCGGCGACAACTGCCGCCGGCGACACGGCGACACGAATCGCGTGCATAAATGGGCTCTAGTTGTCGCCGCGACGTTTTTGGGAATCGCGCGGTCCATATTTTTGTCGCCGCGGCACCTTTTTTCTGCCGCCGCGACACCGTTTTTCCGGAGCGCAGAAGGTCCAAAACACGTGCTCGAGAAGTTCAATTCCAAGCGGCGGTTGCCGAAACTTGTCACGCGCATAAATGCGCTCATATGATTCCGTGTAGTTACAAACCGCGGGCGGCAGGAAATCGCTGGGCGGTTTCTAAAGCCTTCACTTGTGCCGCCCGAAGTTCCTTTGATGTACGCCGCAGATTAAATCACGTTTTAAAACTCGAAATTACTCGAACTCGACTCGGCTTGAGGGTCATTTTCAAAGCTCGAAAAAGCTCGAACTCGGCTCGACTTAGTGAAAAAATACTCGAACTCGGCTCGAATCCAAAAAACCAGGCTCGCACAGCCCTAATTTTAGTGATACGTACCGAAAGTTGGCAGGATAAGAAGATGACTCATCTGCTCAGACAGACACCAAATCTTGTGAGGTAGAATCAGTAGGAGGGTTTTTTGAGCGTGACTTGCGGAAAAATAGGTTTCTTAGAAAAGTGATAGAGGAGAGAGGCCGACCATTTCTGCAACACAAAAGATCACCAAAAATCAGCAAACTGCAAATCGTTGTATCATTTGGCTCCCATTTGATCAGTGTAAATGTACATGATAAAATCATGCTTTGAAGTTGATTTTTGAAATTTCTGTTGCATGCATTGCTTTCAATATAGATTTTGTAAGTGGAAACATATGAAGGGGTGCTTTAGACTGAAGTCTAGTCTAGCGGCTCTTTGTGCTTTCATTCAGACAATGACGCGTACATGAAACTCAACAATGCCACTGTCACTGTGAAATTAAAGAGAAGACAATAGCCTCTTTTCGGGGAAGAAAAAGTATTCATGTAGTTGATTTGTTTTAATTAATGAGTCACAAATTCTCTTTCATGTTAAATTCAATGATCATGATTCATTTTTCGTTTGAAACAGGGCCAGAAAGTTCTTGGCCTTCCCTTTTTTTGAACTGGCCTTCCTATTTTAAAAATCCTTTTTCCCCCAAAACTTTCAAAGCTATGATCTTTTTTTGTTCTTTCTCAACAAATTTTCACAATAATTGAAGATGCACGGAATTTTGACGCTATGATGAGCTGGCTTTCTCAACTTTCAAAGCCTTCCCATTTTTTCAGGCTAGCAGCATTTCAAACACATTGGTATGACAGACTCCTACAAACATTGGTGATTGTTTGAGCTTGGTAAAATGGACTGGGTTTAAGGAAGGGAGATTGAGACGGATAACAAACTGGCGCAGCAAATTTTTCCAGGTTATTAAAGAGGAGATTCCAAATTTCACCATTCAGTCAGAGGCGGATTCAGCAGGTTGGTAGCCCAGCCTCTTCTCTATTTAAACCTGTGCTGAAAAATGTATTCTTGTTGGAGCACCTGGCCCCCTGCTATTGTTTCATTTCTATAGCTGTTTAATTGAAGAGAACACAACCTTGCCAACTTGCTGGACCTACAAATGCTTTCGGTCACCTCAAAAATACGAGGAAAAATTAGAGGAGCCCCTAAAGAATGACCATGGTACATATAGAGAAAATGTCTAAAAATTTTGAGCAATGTTTGACATTTTGAAGGGAAAAGCTGAAACTTTCACAACCTTCCATGCCTTTATGAGATATATTCCCTGATTAAATGTTTTCTGCATGCAACAAGTGTGGCAAACTACTTACCGGAAAGGAACTGAGGTTTCTGGTTTGGTCCGACATTGTCCCTCGGCAACAGTTGCACTCTCTTCGACTCTCATCTTCTGTAAAGAGTCATCATTGGCTCCAGCTTCCAGCTGCAGAAGAGAGATGAAAACACATGAATAACAACAGGATTAACAAATTTTTCGACACAAATCTAAATGAAGTTGAATAAAAAGTTGTTTTTGTAAAGTTTTGACAGTTTCTGAACACAAATTTTAAAATTATTATGATGAATAACTCTACATTCTTTACTTCGGATTTTGTGATTCAAATCCATCAGCAAAATATTAGAGAAGGGAGAAAGAAATAAATTAATATGAAAGACAAAAATGTATGGAGTTACACTATTAATAAACGAAATTATTGAGAAATAGTGCGTGACATTCAGTGAAACTGTGAAAGACAAAGTGCGTGAACTGAAAATATCAAACACGACCAACTATGCATAGAGCTTGAAACTTTATTCAACGCTTAATATTCTGGACATTTGTCAAGTACTTACATCTGCACTTGTGGAAGGTGTTTTAGATGATGTAGGACTGCTTTCAGGTAAAACGTTTGTCCCCTTGGTTTTCTGCTTTTGGATTTCTACCTTGGTTTTAGCACTGCCAAAAAAAAAGAGAGAAATTCTGAATAAAAGATAAAGAAAAAAGGGTTGAATTTTTTCATTCCTACATGTATATCTGGACCTCAATTGAAAAATACTTAAGAATAGTAAAGAAAATCTCTTTTATAGGTTTCAAAATAAACTGCTAAAAAATTACTGAATGATACACAAAGGAGCATTGGAAAATATGTTGAGAGTATTACACAAACATGATCGTAGTCCTCTATTATCAGAACAGTGTTGGCAACAAAGATTACTACAAAATAATAAAAGAACAACTTAATTTGGGGAAAAGGCTGCAAATAAAGAANATTACAGCGGAGCGACGGCTCGTTTTTGTTTTTAATTTTTTTTTTCCGGTTGATAATGAAATTGTTATTATTTTGAAACGTCCCGGGTTTTGTTTATTCCTTTTTCTTTATTTGCAGCCTTTTCCCCAAATTAAGTTGTTCTTTTATTACGTGTATTTTGGCTGATTAAGTTGTTTCTCATTACTACAAAAGTTAGCATCCATTAATTTGCATACAAAATAATACTCATGAAATAACTCAGGTTTAGAAAAAGAAACATGAAAGGAAATTAGGAAAATTTAAGTGCAGTAAGGCTGATTGTAGTTGAGACCCATGGTAATACATAGCTTGTGAGTTAATTCTCACACAATTTCTAAGGACTTGAATATGCTTTTAACTTTTCTGAGAGTGAAGTTTTATATACCAATTTCTTCATAACAAACTAAAAATATAATTTACACATGCTCTGGTGGAATACATTGTAGCTCAACAATGCATGACATTCCATTTTTTTCAATTTTACTAAATATTGATGAATAAGCCTCATTTGATTGCACACTTTTCTTGCACAAAGTAACAATGATATCATAATATTTTCTTGTACAGCAATTGGATGCTCCACAAGGGTTTCAAAATTGTTACTGAAATAGCTACGGAGCTTCTAACCTCCCTTCTATCTTTATGAATAACAAAAGGATCGATGTATGAGCTTTCATACAAAAAGAAAAGAAATTATGAAGGGGAATTCGCTCTTTACAATCTCTGAAGTTCATTAAGATACGAAATTTGCACACTCACCTAGATTTGACTGGTTTATCGCTTGATCCTTTACGTTTTTTGTTCGAATGTGATGGGCTTTTGCCGGTTTCAGATGACTCAAACACAGAATCCGATTGACTTTTTCTAACTGGACTTTCTGGAAAAAGATTTTCAATGTTAGAACACGGAGGCACAAACAGAAAATCAAAGAGTAATTTTAATTCCTAAGTTCTAATACTAAAGTTATCTCTAAAACTGGGGTATCAATTTACCTGACAAGCTAATAGAGATAAAGAATAGAGGGCTAAAAATAAGAGAGGTAAAGCGCTGAAAATTTAAGAAAATCCTTTCACTCAATAATAGAAGAAATATTCATTCAATTTCTTTACTACATGGGTTTAAAGAATGCATTTCTACTGCAAAAAATTCCATGAGGCTTCTCTTGGCAGGAACATTTTTCACCGTCTAATTAGAGTTCCTGAAAAGATGAGTTACGAGAAAAATTGATTCATGCAAATACTCTACTGTCTTAAGCAAAAACTTCGCGAGTCCATTCCGTGTTTTTGAAATTTTTTCTCAGACAAAATGTTTTCTTAGAAGGAAAGGGGCATTCATTATTTATGCTCTCAAAATTACTGTGTCATACCATTGAGACACTGAACATATACTGAGAAACTTAACATGCATTGAGAAACTGAAGTTTGATGGTGATAGGATTTAGGATTTTTTTTCTCCTTCTTGAAGTAATGCATTCTGATTGGAAGAAAGAAAAATTGCATTTCACTGATTCTCTTCTGTTAAATCATAATAAGTTTACAAAGAGAAGGCTTTGCACTATACTTCAAAAAACGGTAGGAGAACACAATTTTCCTCTCACTCAGCTTTTAGAAGAGGCAAGACTAACATTCTTTCTAACTCAGGGTAGGCAGTAGAATCAAGCTAAAACTCTGGCGATAGCAACACACCAGTCTCAGATCAGGCTGTTTACTTGGAATCCTTTTTTGAGCGGTAAAGCGGCTAAGTTTGGTTAAAGGGACTGTAATAAGTTGTCATTTACAGATTCTCAATCCCAATTTTCTACCCCGACGTAATGCCAACAGGCGGTTCCGGGGTCTCCATATTATAGATATAGACTAAGATTAGACAATTAGGAAAAAATATAAAATTAAGAATCATCAACTGTATGAATGTATCTTTAAACTATAATAAAGAACTCCTAAAAAAAAAAAAATCCCAATTTTCTGATTATATTAAAAGAAGTTATTATTGAATGTTTGGTCCTTTCCAGAGAGGGTATAATTTATTTTTCATCCCTACGGTGATTGTGTGAACACTCGAAATACATAAAGGCTTCATGCAAAGTCTCAAAAAAAGGAATAAAATCCAATACCATTCCAAGCAAAATGTCAGTAGTGAGTTTATTATGCAATAAGGCATTCACTGGAAGGGGTCACTAAATGACGTACCATTTTTGCTACCTATGCTACGAGGAACATATTCGTTCTCTTCGTTAAAGTCAATTCGCACACCTGATGCAGAGGTGGTGATTCCACAGCCTCCATTGCGACAAAGTGAGACAGGAATTACACCATAGACATAAAACAACAACACAGGAACACCTACTCCGACCGCCAGACCAGCTAGAATTGGAGCAATCAGGATCTGAAACAAAAAAAATAAAAAAATTAATGACTTCTTCTGCTATAATTGAATTTCGAGATAAAGACTGTGTAAATAGTAGAGAACATCTACTTTTCTGAAAATTTGACGCAGACTATTTTCATTTCCCAGTCTGCAAATAGAAATATCATTTTTATTCAAGTTTCTTGCAAATAGTTAAAAGTTATTGCAAAAACTATTCTCAAGATCCTTGAAACATTAGGAAAAATTATCACCTCAGCATTCCGTCAAAAGGAAAGTTTCTGTTCCAGCACAATAGAGTAAAAAAGTAACTTCCTTTAAAGAATTATCAATATCCTAGAGAGACTCCAATCTTCTTTCTGATTGAAAATTCACACGTTTAAACTTCTCAGACCTCTCCCACCTTTTCAAAGCAGTTCTTTTGCCTTCTCAGACAAATTTTTTCTGCACTCCAGTGAAAAGACAGGCCCCGCCAGATATGGAACTTCGCCGATTATCAGATTGTATGGTAGGTCTAGCTTAACCATCATAGATTGAGAAAATTCGAGTGAGATCCTTCCATTGCAAATGTCAGTTTAAACTAATCAAATACGAAGAGCTCTTAATAAGCTTAAGTCCTTTCCATTCCTTCTTAAAAACCCCTGAAAATAAGCCGAATATATCACGATCCAACAAGATGAGCATGGAACTGTTTTTACAGCTATGAAGAGTTGCACAGGCAATCTTTTACATTCCAAGATTTCAGGACCTAAGTAATAACCTTAACTCAAACACTTCCTCATTAATATAATGAGTGACGTTAAAAAATTTGACGTTACCCAACTCCACTTGTAAGTAATTTTTCTCAGAGTAAACCAAACATCAGTTTTTCGTGGAAATTCTTCGCGCATTCAAAAATTCAGAAAAAAATGCAAAGATATATTTCAGTTAGACGTACTTTGAAAAAATTAGTTTAGGATTTTGAAATGCTACAAGAGAGATACGCATTTGAAGAAATTGACCTTTCCTCGCCCGCAAAAAAAAAAAAAAAAAAAAAAAAAAAAAAAAAACCCGAATTTTTCGCAAGTGTTTCCCCAATCCAGACTTGCATTGCTCTCACCGCAGCAAGTCAAGGAGGGTGGCGGGGGCGGGGAGGGGGCTGCAGGACGGCGCCCTCGGAAATGCGTGCGATCCCGGAGGAAGAGGGGGGCGGCTGCCGGGACCCGGGATTCTGCGGGAGGGGCGTGACGGGCGGAGGAGGGGGGCGCAGGGGGGCGGCGGAGGCCGATTATTGATCGGATCCAGCCGAGCGAGTGGGGGCCAGACTGGAGTAGGACATGGGTTCAGTTGGTCGCAGACGTCTGCAGGGCTACGCTGGGCCGAGTTGACTACGCTTCTTCCTTCGGATCGTCCCGACGGTCGCGCAGTGATAACTGATAACGCACAGCGGTGAACTCGGCGCGGGGTCAACGACAGGGTAGGTGTTTTCGTGAAATTTTACCCTAAGTTTTACCAATATTTTCCGGGGTTCCGCTTTCCTTCCCTCTGCTGTTGTGCTGTTCTGTCTGAATTGATAAAAGTTCGGTGAAAAAAATAATTTGACGATGTTGCACTTCCTTCCAGAAAATTTTCATGACTGATGGAGCTTTTTGCATTAAACGAGCAATTGTTGCAATTTTTTGACGATTGTTGTGGGGTTCCGCTATCCTTTCCTCTGCTGTTGTGCTGTTCAGTCTGCATTAATAAAAGTTCTTTGAAAAAAATAATTTGACGATGTTGCACTTTCTTCCAGAAAATTTTCATGACTGATGGAGCTTTTTGCATTAAACGAGCAGTTGTTGCAATTTTTTGCAATTTGTTGCAACTTTTTGACGATTTTGAACTTTTTGACGTGTCTAACAGAGATCTTGATAAAAATATGACGATTTTGCACTTATTTCTACTAATCTTCCAAACTGAAAGAACCTCTCTAAAGTAAATGAATGGTCGATACAATTTTTTGACAATTTCGCGCTTTGTCACTAGTTTGAAAAAAAAACTTGATAAAAATTTGACGATGTTGCATTTTTTTCTACAAGTTGTAGGACCGATTGAGATTTCTGCAATAAATGAACAATTGATAGAAATTTTTGACGATTTTGCGCTTTTTTTGCAAATTTAAATCAACACTTGATAGAAAAATTTGAGGCTGATGCACGAACTTCTAACACTTTTTTAAAAAAAATTGGAAATTTTTTGAGCGCTTGAATCATTTTAAAAATGAGTCAAAAACTATTGCTTGCTTTTCGATTGTTATATTGGGCCCTGACAAGATTCATTTGTGTTGTGCTAAACCGCTTAAGAGTCTTTCATGTTACCCTATGCTGTATTTCTATGTATCTTCAATGAGTTCATTAACAAAATGATTATTCGGAGGGCTGACTAATTGCAGAATTTAAGAACATTTTCCAATTTTTCGGTTTCGCCATCTTTCGAGGTTGGGTCATTTCAGTTGCTGATCCAGAATAAATAAAAGACAGCATTTTGAGTTTAAAAGTGCTCGCATTTTCGAACGATTTTACGATTAAAAAATATTTCCAGGGTTATTACTGCCAGGCTCTTGACCCGTTAGTCCGATAATATACGGTCGTCTTCTGGTGTCCGATTCAAACTTTTGATGAATGAAAACTAAGTAATTGTTCTTGTTAATCCTTCAAAGTCGAGTTATTATCCCTTGCCGCATCAAGTCCTCAATATGACTTTAATTTTCTTCTTCGTGAGAAAACTTTTAATCTCTAAGAGTAACTTTTCCTAAGTGTTAACGTCGCAGGTTAATCGTCCGATCAAGTATCTGCGGCAAATTTTCTGGCAAATCACTACGTTGATTACGTAGGTAAAAAACTCCTGTAAGCTGTTACCATTTAGGGGCCATTATGATGTGTTTTTTTTTTCGCTTTCATTACCACGGATCACAATATTTGGGGGTACCTGTTTTGTAAAATACTTAGTACTGCTAATTTCAACAAATTTAGTTGGTGAGGAATACAATTTCGGAACACGCCTTGTTTTGAACTTTGCTCACGTTCGAAATGCTCAAAAACCGCGGCTATAAACATTCAAAACTTAGTCTATCTTCAAAACTTTGACCAACTGCCTTGGCAATTGATGGAATGTCTGGTTTGAGTACTTGCCTGCAACGTTTTCCCTGATTTCGATTGACATGACAGTTTTTGAATATTTTTTTATAAAAAAAAACACTATTATTTATAATCTTCGCCGATTCATTTTACGTCCGTATCACTATTATTGAATATAATGTATAATCTTCGATGATTCATCTTAAGCTCATATCACTATTATTGAATATTATTCATGAATTATCTTCGATGATTCATTTTACGTTGAATTAGATTCAATTTCCTCCCCACGAAAAAGAAGATTCATTGAACCGGTAATCGCAAATCCTTGCTAGATGGGCTTCCAGAACGTTTCATCTGTTGCCAAATTTCTTACAGTAAATTACGGATTTTCTCGAAAACTTTTGAGCGTCTTTCTTTGCAATTTTTCAACGATTTCATTGGCAATTTTTTCTTAGTATATCTGATAATTCAGAGAGAAAGTCTTTACAACTTCTTAAAAAAAAAATGTTTTGTCGGTGGCAGTTCGGGGACATTCGCATGCCCATACGGCGTTTTCCTTTAGCGCGGAAGAACTTTCGCTCCGATCAAGATTGAAACGCAATATAATTTCGACGCACTTTATACTACTTAGATCGTGCAATGATCTATTCTCAAGATAACCGCAAGCATTGAGGCAAAATAGGCAGGGCTCATTGGGACCGCTTTAGCGAGGAACATCATAAATCTTCGAGAAATTCCGCAGCAAGTATGCTTTCCCTCATTAGACCCATTGTTGATAGATTACCAGTCGTCTTTGTACCACTCCTTCACCAAAGTTACACCTATTTTTTACTGTTCATTTTCCAAAGATGCGAAATAAATGAGAGACAACGGCTTCTCTCTCATTTTTCAATGGAATGGGCATCAACTGCGTTGACGACTTTCTAGGTCGCTGAGAGGACTGCACCTTGTTTCGAAGATAAAATATGGTAGCCCACAGATTTTGAGGCATCAGTGTCACATTGAACTAGACGCGCGCCGTTTTCTTTTACATTTCGTATGGGAGGGGGAGAGAGGGGAAGAGAGAAAGAGAGGAAGAGAGGAGCGGAGGAAAGCCCATTTTTATGTTGTGACGTAACCATGGCAAGATGAATATCTTCTACAAATAAAGGTTTTACGTAAAGCAGATAAAGACGAAAAACTTTACGATTGCTTGCGGTGAGCGGTGACATTTCTTTCCAAAATGCCTTCATTTTCAAGCGTATGCAATTCGGGGTACCGTTAGGTTAAAATAGTTGCTCGAGGTGCGCCTTCATTCAAACGCTTTGCGTTCCCTATCGCCGATTTGGAGCACAATAACCGAACCACTCAAGATATATATACATTTTTTTAAAGAACAAAAAAAAACATAAAAAACGTTTTGACTTTCTGAGCCGATATCGCGGTTGGGCAAAATGTGACTCCATAAGATTTCTCCTGACCTTTCAAGATCTTGCCATCTTTTAGGAATTCTGAGCCCTGAAAATCATGATAAAATTCCGTTGATGCATGCCTCACCATTCACCAAACCCTACACCCAAAATACGAAAGCTGCACATTTTTTATTTCTCTCTTCTCTCATCCTCCCCCTCAAAATGCGAAAGCGCACAGCAGGAAAAAGCATCAATTATTCTTTAAGCATCGAGTGACCGGCGTTTTCGAACCGTACGAAATAACACGAATAAAGCCACACGAGGCAGAGCGAAACAGCAAGTATTGCAGTCAATCGTAAATTGCATTCGTTGGGTGTCGAATTCTGCTCGGCTTCGTGCGGTCGGTTACCTGATGCCAAAAGTGGCGAGGCGTGAATGTTCGATTATCAATATTTCCCCATTTGAAGGTGTGTTAAAGAATCGATTATCAAGGTGTTCGTTGCGAACACCCTATTTATCGATCCTTTTCAATTGGTTTAAATGGCAGATCAATCGATTTATCGCAAAGCACGCCACGCCACGCCACTGGATGCCAAGCAATTTCCGCCCTCCCCCGCGTTTTTCAGTTAATTAAAATTGCGCTTTTTCGCTAAAGCACACGGATCGATAGAGATCCCGAGACAAAAACTTCAGTTGCCCGTAGGCGATATCTCCAAAATTTGATACATAGATACTTGACTTAATAGTCATGCCTTCCGAATAGATTTTGACGATGAGCCAGAGGATTCGGTGCATTTTATACCCGTACTCCCTCCCAAAAGCAAAAAGAAAAATAAAGGTGGGACAGCGTGCACGACGGTCAGGTCAAAAACCAATTCCTGAAGTATGATATTACGCGATTGCAACATAATTGCTATACTGCCATGCTGGAGAAGAACGCTGTAGGAACATTGAATCACCACATTTCTCCAATAAAATATGCATTTTAGAGGAAAGTCATGATTATATCCTTGGAATTTGCAGAAATTTCGGGTTAAATTTTGAACAAAATTATCTGAAAGTCGAATAGTCCAGGCGCCTGGTAGCTAAAAATGAGGCTACCTGGAATTTTGGGTACACAGCGATTTTTTTGGCTTACTTTATGTTTTTTGGGTCGCTGAATCCGAATCTGAAGTTTCCGCACGCGTGTCTGGTGAGCATTTTCCGCTATTTTGAAAAAATGGCCTAAAAAGGCCTTTTTTTGCGGTTTTTTTGATATAGCGGCTACGGATGAGGAAAAGTCCCGGATTTAGCTAATGTTTTGAATAGCTGACAAAATTTGGAAGAAAATGGTATATGAATATGCTAGGTTTGCTCAAAAATTGAGGAACCTCGGATTTCGGAACTTTAGAACGCTTCGGAACTTGGCTGACCGCGGCGAGCCGGATCGCGCGTTGACGGGTGCGCCGCGAAAACGTGAATAGGCGCGATGTTCACGATGCTGTATCTTCCTCAATTTTTAAGCAAACCTAACATATGTATACACCATTTTCTTCCAAATTATGTCAGCTATTCAAAACATTAGCTAAATCCGGGACTTTTCCTCATCCGTAGCCGCTATATCAAAAAAACCGCAAAAAAAGGCCTTTTTAGGCCATTTTTTCAAAATAGCGGAAAATGCTCACCAGATACGCGTGCGGAAACTTCAGATTCGGATTCAGCGACCCAAAAAACATAAAGTAGGCCAAAAAAATCGCTGTGTACCCAAAATTCCAGGTAGACTTACCAGGCGCCTGGACTAGAAGTAAAATATGCATAAGCTTACGAGGAGATTCTGACAACATTTGAAGACTCAAAAGTACGGCGTGCGACGTTATTCCTCAGCACAGCAGTGTAAAAAGATGAGACGGAGTTCCAAGTTCGTTTAATTTTGGTTTCGAATCATTGCTAAAGATCGAAAAAACGCCGAGAAACTTCGTTGATGCCCCCCACCATCTCCCCTCCAAAACCGCGATTTTCGAATCCCTAAAAATGCGATCAAACGTTCAATTTTAGGAGTTTTAAGGGGTTTCACTACGCTGAAGGATACATAGTTACAATTCAACCCAATGACTGGATCGCATTTAGCAAAAAAGAACCAGCGTGATTACTTACAGTGTTCCCAAAATCATGCAACTTCTTCTTTCCTTTTAAAATTACTTGATAGAAGTACAGCGTTCAAACTCACACAATTATTTTTCATTAAAATTTACAATTTTTAGGTGGGAAGGAAAACTTCTTTGCTATTCTGCGAGCTTTTTGAAATAATTATGAACAGGCAAAATTTTTACAACGCTGTAATCACGCTGGTCCCTTTTTGCCAGATACGATCCGACTGAAACGCAGTCATCTGACTTAGCTTCCCCCCCCCCNTTACATTTAGGGCTGTTTTATCCGAATCCATCGCATTTGAAACGAAAAACTTTAAACGTCTACAGCCGACGCTCGACGAGTAGACAGCCTCGTGACGTTTTTAGCCTCCTTGCCGTGCATCGCGCGGGCTTTTTGGACTTGGAGCCGGGCGTTTAATGAAACGCACTTGTGCGCTTCCTCGACCCTTCATCTGCGGCTCCCCCGCCAACTTCGGACATGATTGATGAGAGTTTTATGTAAAGCCCTTCGATTATTTCCGTCTCGCTACGGTTCCAGTCAACGTCTCAATTTCCTCCCCGCGGGATAGTTGGGCGTGGGCGCCCTGCAAAAGACGCCACGACGGCTTTCCATTGTGCTGCAGTTCGTCGTCACCCCGGCGAAGAAACGTAACTTCATTCCAAGGTTGCCAAATTGACTCAAACGATTATTTTATTAGGCCTAAATGTACCTGTGCAATGTTCATCCGCAATTTTTCTGATTTTTGCATGAAATCCGAGGAAAAATCAGTGATGCTTTCAGTTAGAAATGATCAAGATCCTCCTGTTTAATTTCATTTGCAAAGGAAAATTTGGCAACGTTGAGATGGGGTTAAGTTCTTTCGTGCGGAAAACGACCAATCGAGGATCACCGAGAGCGACTTCGATCGGAGACGAAACATATCGAGAAGACCGCAAGTAAGAGCTATCCCATGATTATTGAAATTAATAGACAGAATTGTAGACAAAGGAGACAAACATACAATTGAGCGATGGAAACAGGTCCCGACAGTAATTTTCAGCTTTTCTGGCAAATATCTTAAAATTTTGGTTTGAGGTTAAGTTCTGTTGTTTTGAGCCAAACGATACATTGCATACGATCTGAGACAAGAGACCCTCCACTGGCCTCCTAGCGACAGGTGGAAGCTTTTACTTTCGGGGTTTCAACAATTCCTTATGGACAATTATTAGGGAGCAACAGTCATCACCATATTTTCGGCTGTTGACATGGTCGATGATGAGCTTCGGGTGACGTCATGAGCCAAACAAGTTTCCTAAACTTCGGCCATTTTCGGCATGTTTGCGAAACGAAACTGCCAACACGTTGTTAAACATCAACCATGTAGGTAAGTCAACAGTAGAATGCTGAAGTCCCGAAAGTAAAAGCTTCCACCATGACCAAGACACTAGTGGAGGGTCTCTTGTCTCTGCATACGATCCATAGTGACCTGTTTCATCGTCGGTGTCTTTTTCTCCTGTAAACGCGTCCAATTTAAAATTCGTCTCCCGACGTCATTCCGCTGGTGCACCGTTACAGGAGGATGACGTCAACTGAACGAGCGACGACCCGGTGGCCCGAGTAAGGGAGGGAGGGCGGGAGGGGGGGGGTGAGAACACCGTCATTGCCCGGTTACAAAGGACAAGAGCAAATTACCGCGGTAAGAGCATACGTGCATGCATTTCGATGCCGACACCAGCTCTCCCGCCGGGCACCTCCTATTATTGCCGCNGGGGGGGGGGGGGGGAGTGTCGTTGAGTTCACTCCCGCGAAATATTGATAATTTACACTAAATCGAGCACAAGAGAAAAACAATACTGATTTTGCCAGATATTCCGAAAAAGTTGACCGCTCGCGCGAGGAAGAACTCGAGCCCTTAAAAACTTAAAATCCAATTATTAATGTCTGAGGACAGAGAAGGATAGGGATGCAGAGATTTCCCAGGCTTTCCACTTTTCAACCTGGCCTTCCCATTTTGAAACCCTCTTGTCTCCTAAAAATGTCGAGTTGATGATCTCCTTAATTTGGCTCTTTACCTACTTGTTGATTTTACGAAAAATACGCAATTTTCACCGCAGTTTTGCAAGAAACACGCGATTTCCTCCGATATTCAACGGAAATTACACCATTTTTACGTTTACGCACATCGGCTTTTTCTTCCTGGAAACTGGATTTGGGGCCTTTATAGTTTAGCCTGCGCCAAATCGCGACTCGCCGGTAGCGTGATAGAGAAGTTTCCTTACCCCTAGAGGAGTGATTGACAAACATTTTGGGACAACAAACGCTCAAAAATGTCGAACCAAATCGGAACTACGGCAGTATGAAATTAATACTGTAAAAATCGTAATTCCTGGAGACTCTCGACTAAAAATCTGTACCATTTACTAATTCGGGATTTGAGTCGGAGATTCGGGATATTTCCCCAGCCAATTTCAAAAATAATTCCTGTTTCATGAGAGAATACCTACGGAGTGATTAGTATTGATTTTTAGATTTTCCGATCCTACTAGGTGAAAGGTTGAAGCTCTGAGGAAAAATTTATCACTTCTGTAACTGCACTTTTCCCAGACTGATTTCCGATCCTGCCAGGAGAAAGGCTGAAGCTCTGAGAAAAATGTCACTTCTGTAGTTGCACTTTTCCCCTGACTGATTTCCGATCCTGCCAGAGGAAAGGCGGAAGCTTCGTGGAAAATGTTGTCACTTCTGGGGCCACAAATTTCCACCGACTTTTGGGCCTTTTCCTCCCCCCCATTTTTCCCAGGTTTTCTCAGGCCAGTTTTCCCTGACTTTCCCCCAATTTTCCTCGACTGTTGCCAGACTGTTGATAAGAAAACATGTGCGTTAGTGCCCTTTTGGGACTTTTTCTCTCCCCCCCCCATTTTTCTAGGTTTTCTCTGGGCAGTTTTCCCTGAATTTCCCCCAATTTTCCTCGACTGTAGCCAGACTGTTGATAAGAAAACATGTGCGTTAGTGCCTCGGTGCTGACCATGTCCGGAGGTCCATTCTGTCTGCACAAGCATGCATACAACCGTAAACCTCGGGCGGACAGAGTAGCTCCTTTGTCTGTCCCCGGTCGCTTTTCCGGGCGTAGCGGCGGAACACCGGTGTATTACCCTACCCATCATCCTGAGTCATCGCTACCTCCGCAACGCCGACTAGTTCACGGACAAAACTCTCCTACTCCCCCATAAGAGGCAACGTAAAGTAGCCGCGTTTCACCGGCGACAGGCAACACCGCTCACTTGATCGATACTTTGATAGGGTGTCTTATGGCCGAACATAAAATAAATCGAAGTTCGATCGTTGCCGCGAGAAACCGGCGAAAAGTATCGGACATCGATTCGAGCGATCGGCGCTGCGCGTGAAGGTCAGCTCAATTGAAGCGCGTCACGGACGCTGGACATTTCACGAGCCGGTGGCTAGCACTGCCCTCCCAAAGAGGTTGCCAGACTAGGTGATTAATTTCGCGTATTTCTTGAGACAAATGGAAAAAGGGATGATTTTCGGCGAGAGCTGACATCGGTGCCTTCCGAGCAAAAACCGCGTAACCCCGATGGAAATCCTGAGGAGATACGTCGTTTTTGCTTCCACGTCAGAGCGTCGCCGTTCCGCAGGATGACTCTCGACAGAGACGTGGAATTTGTGACGAGACTGGAAGGGAGAGAGATCGAATTGTTGCAGGAACGAAAAATTCACGAGGGAGCTCACAAATATGAAATGGAAACTTGACGGTTGCTCATTTCTCTACGGTGAAAAACTACCAACACTGAAGGGATTCGGGAAAAGGGGCTTAATTGCCTTGTTACATTGAAAAGTTTCTCTTGAGAATGTACTTATCTGTTCAATAGCGATTTTGAACGGTTCTTTTGAACATTTTCAGCGAATGATTTCGCAGATTGACTAGAATTTCCTGGAACTTTTTCTATAAACATTCGCCCGATAATGAATGAAGAGATAAATTAGTTGAAATTTTGGGACACTGAAAAGTGACTAATTGTGAGCCCTCTCTGGCTCTAATTCTTTCAAAGTAGTCGGATATTTGTCCGGAGAACAGATGAAATTTTCTCGGAAGAGTTAAATGCCAACAACAGAGACTTCTAACGGATTAAAATATTCCAGAAAAAACAAATTAATATTGTTGATTTACTATCTAAGGTGGCTGTTTTGGATTTGACGGCAAATGAAAAGTGCCTGACTTGACATGACAAGTACATCTAAGGAACTTTCTTTCATGTTAACAGGGTACAAATATGTCAGATGTCGAGAATGGAGAACTGCAGGCGGCTCCTGAGAATGGCGAAGTCAATTCAACACCAGAGGATGAAGATGAAAATACGCAGTTAAATTCTGGACCAGTCGACAAGCTGTGGTTAGAGAAAATCCTATCATCACACCACCAACACACAGTAACGATACGAGAATTCACTGTGAAACCCTGGAGAGAGACACTGAGTGATATAAGAACAGTGTCAGTGACCTACTATGTGCCTAGAGAGCGAGAGGATAGAACAGTCTGTCTTATCGTCAAACTTCTGCCGATGGATCCAGTTGTCCGGCATTTTGCTGTTGAGGCTCAATTTGATCTAAGAGAGATTAAATTTTATACCAAGGTGAGTAGTTTATAAATGCTTGAAGCTTTGATTTCTTTTTTAGGTGTTCTATCAAAAATGGTATCCAATCTGCTCGACAGAAACTTCAATCATAAGAGAAGGTACACTGATAAGACTGGGTGTAGGCTGAAAGCTTTGACAAATATTTAATGAAGCTTTCTGAAAGTGCCTTGAGGATAAAACTACATGTCAACTTGTATGACAGATTTACCTATTTCCTTGAAATATCAGTGCTGCAATACATAAGTCTTCACACCTAAATTCCTGCTTTAAATTTTGAATATAAAGGAATGACTTCTGTTAAAGAATCGAAAAATCTACCATTTCTTCTGATTGGACTGTCCATTACTTGGATTTAAGGAATAAAAATACAATCTCAGTGTCATGATGAAAATAGAAGACATTCATCTTCACTTAGGATATTGCAACCTTTCTGTCATGCTTCATATTTGAACTTGAAGACTATTAAAAATCATTTCTTGAAAACTATCATGATTTACAAGAACCAAGACTTGAAGAAATCCAGGAACATTAACTTTCTTCGGATTTAACCAAAATTCATCCATCACAGATAATATTGTTTTCCTGTTTCAGGTTGTTCCTGACTTGATGGAATTCCAAAAAGACCTTCTCCCTCCTAACATCCCTCCGATAGATCTCTTAATTCCATTCTGCTACCACGCCAGCCACCAGCGCTCACAACTTGTCTTGGCAGATGTTCGGGCAGATGGCTATGCCCGTGCGGACTTCATGGGCGGTCTCACTCTTCTTCAAGCAGAGGCTGCGCTGGACGCAATCTCACGACTGCATGCAGTCTCCCTTGCTATGCGCCTCAAAGAAGACATCGATCTCAATGAAAAGTACCCCTTCCTCTTCCAGACTTCTGTTGCTCAAGCCTCCGATGCCTATCAACAACTTGTAGAACGAGGGCTATTCCTCCTCTCTGACTTTTTAAAAGACCGCTCTGACCAAATCCCTGCTATGAAATGTCTGAAAGAGATCCACCCAAAACTAATAGATGTTATTGCCAAATTACTAACTCCCAGTGAGCCGATGAAACTTATAACCCACACAGATTTTTGGTGCAACAACCTGATGTTCAATGAAGGGAATGAGTGCTGCATCCTGGATTGGCAGATGGTGACATGCTCACGGCCAACGACGGACATAGCGCTCCTGATCATTAGCTCTTTACCGACAGAATTGCGGCGGACCAAATCAATGCATCTTCTGGACGTTTACTGGGAGCATTTCATGCGATATACATTGACATTAGGGGTCAATGTTCAAGATAGCCTCAACTACACAAAAGAGAATCTTGCAGAAGATTACAAGAAGTCACAATTGTTGGCGATAATCTTGTGCATAGGGTCTGTGGATCTAGCGATGGGCAACTCAATGACTGAACAAAGGGTGCTAGATTTGCTACAAGATTTGTACGACGGAGGAGTTTTCAAGTTAGAAGAACTATTCCCTGACTGGGATCCTGAGAAGAAGGACTGGATCACCTCTGAGGTGAAGGATACTCCTTAAATCACGACTGATTGGTCTATTTACTTACTTTATTTTATAGACTATTTTTCTGAGACTTCTTTTCTTCCCAAAGCGCATTTGATTTTGGTTCTGGTTCAGATTCCTGATTAGCTTTACTTCAAATACTATAACTTTTTTCTTGTAAAACATGGTCATACTCTGACTTAATTCAATAGTGTAAATAAAATGCATTTCATACAACATATCAGAGAAAAAGGTTTTTTTCTTCTTTTTTCTTAACCCTTCCCAAGCCCTTCTAGGCTAACCTGACATTGAACTGATAGTGAAAATCCAGCTCTGTTTGCAGGCAACAAATACGAATGATTTAGATTACTCCCAGCTGAGCACTTGAGCTCAATGAAATTCACAATACATTTTAACTATTTTCAGGCAATTGCAGGCGATAGGAGTATTTAAAATGCTAGGTTTGCAATATTTGTTTGTCACTTTGTCCTAGTATAATAAAAAGAAGAAAATGAGATTTCCAAGAATGCTGTGCATTAATATAATTGAACATTAATTTCCTCTAAAATATGTGCGCTCCAGTGAATTTGATCATTATGCTGTGGTTTTTTTTTCGTACTTTTTATCCATGTTGAACATTGAAGTTATTTACATACTCATCTTACAAGGCAGTTCTAACTGAATGAAACGGATTCATTTTCATACACGTGCAAATTTAGGTATATCGATAATTTAATCAATTGGTTATGTACTGATAAGATTTTCAACGATCCTCTAGAAAAGAAAAAAACTGCTAAGCCTGAGAGACTGCGAAAATATCCAGATAATGTCTCGATTTTCCTCAGTGTAAAAGTGTATCAGGATTGGAAACAATGAATCAAACCTTTTGCAGACAATCATTTTGGAATAAGAATCATAGAAACCATTCTAAAAATTATCCTGAATTACACTTTCGAGACTTTCTCTCCCTTATCGCTCTGATGTGTATAAATTGCAAATTTCACTAAGCTGATACGAGAATCAAATGTCTGTGCAAATTTAGTAATTCTTTTTCGATTATTGCTTCCTTACTGCTTCTTCTGCGCTAATGTTACTAATTTTATTGAAACTCAATGCAAGACTCATGTGTCTTGCACAGACAATACAAGGAAAAGGTAAGCAATTGGTCGTAATTGTTTTTTCCTTGTTATAAAAAAAATAACAAAACTAAGAGCCTCCATAATACTCTGACAGACTTAAAATTAGCACTGTGAGACTTGCAACACACAAGGAGAAAGATGAAAATAGAGTTGGACTGATTGCCGATGCAGAATTGGGCTCTCTGGGATCAAGGCACTTCAAAGGAAAACTTGCACTGAATTTAAAAGGCAATCATGAAAAGCACCCTACTGTAATATGGTGAAGAGGGGCCTTTGAATGTATGTTGCTGGCGACTAAAATGGACTCTTAGTGGCCAGCTGCTGATATTCTGAGGAAAAAAGACCATGTTTGTAAGAAAGAATTCATGAGATAATGGAGATTTAAAGTAACAAGGCGCACGATGTCAGGTCCAGACAGTTAGTTCAGTAAGGGTATGTGCAAAGAATATCGGATCAGAGATTGCACTAACACATTTTGGATTGGGTACCTCCTGGAAGGAGGCGACATGGGAACTTCCCATAAAAGAATGGCTGAAGAGGGTCACCAAAGCAATCGTATGATTTCAGTTACCCACTCCCTCAGACTTAGTAATAAGAATGTAAACAAATACATTCATCTCTTGGTCATGAGTTGATTTGGGAAAATTTCAATTTGGCCAATGCAGTTTTGATAAATTTTTGATGAGGGAAAACAGTTTTTTTCACTCTGTGAAATGGTCTACAAGAGATAAAGTACATGCAAAAAAGAAAAAAAAACTTACCGCTGTGATCACTCCAGTCATAATGGCAGCAGTTCTATGAAGTCTACTACTCCACGCATATTTCACATATAATTTACGACCAACTAAAACAGGAATACCTGTCAAAAAAAAAAATACATACTATGTTCAGTTTTTGTGATCAAAAATAAAGAAACGAATATTTAAAAGAACTATTAAAAAGACTTTTATGGCTCTGTACAAATAAATTGCCATAATTTTGCACTAAGCATGTCATTTATGCAACAATTTTGCAGGAAACATATGATTTTTACTGCATTTGCAAAAATAATCGAGATTTTGCCGGCTTTCCCATTTCAAGACGCCGTTTTCAGGGCATTTTCCCATTTTTGCATACAACCCATTGCGACCCACCCGGTCGCATGGTCGAGAAGTTTTTGCACCCCTGGAGCTTCTGAAAACATAGAGTGACTATTTATACAGAACTTTTTTTGACCCCTCCAAGTTCAATTCTCTAATGGCAATGAATACTCCAGCAAAAAGTTGTCAACTCAGGAAGCTGTCCCATGGCAAATAGTTCAGTGACAAAACATCCGTCTGAGCTATGAAAAGTACAACTTGGACGAGATGTCTTCTAAAATTTCATTTTGAATTTTCTTGATAAGTTCCTGATATTTTAAAAGTAATTTTCTCATTATTTAGGCGAATAAATTGACACTCGTTTGATTTTACAAACCAATATATTTACTGAACTGAATCAGATGTTTGACTCCTGCATGTGCTTAACTGCATGAAGTTGACAAATGCTTGATATGCTCAGAATTTCCTGATCCATGACAGATTTTCCTGATATATTTCGGTTCTTATTAACGTTAGACACCCTGTTAGAATCAGCCTCAATGAGTAGTCCTGGGCTCATTATTTCTGTTCACTACCAAAATGCTCGAATGCTTGTTTCTTCGACTAGCTAATTTCTAAGATGTTTTCAACATTATTGAATGAGTTTAAAGGGCATTTAAATGTGTCTGAAGTTATTGAATTTGGCCAACTTATCATGAAGCAAGCAAAAACATCACCACTGGGGAAATGGTCGAGGGAATTAATAATTATAAGAGCCATCATATGGGCATCGCATACTAAAAAGTTAATGAGGAAGAGTCCTTGATTATGAATAGCAAGTAAGGGCCTCTTTCTGCAAGTTTCTTTCCTCTCACATCTCTACAAATTTTTCGATTAACTACACCTAAAAAATTAAGTGAATTTACTTAGATTTAGCCTGAATACATTTGACATTGCATAATTTTCTCTAATGTTTCATTTTCTTTACAGAGATAAAATTACTTAATGCCTTTAAACCTTCCATGATTTGACCATAGATATAAAGGATATAATCATAAAATCGCAAATTTTATTGTTGCTTTGATTTTCATTTAAAGAAATTAAACATCAGAGAAAATAAGGCAACTCTGATGTTATTATAGTCCATTTCACGAAACCTGAGACTTTTTATTCGGCATTAAAATCCGTAAATGGCAACGCATCAGTCTCGGACTCGGGTGACCGGACCGCTCGCCGGACACACACTTTTGTTCAGCGACCATAGGCCGGCAACCCGTCCATTATGAGGGTGGGAACAATGGGCACCCTTCATCCCGCTTTAATGAGCTCCAGTACCCGGACCGAAATTTTTTTCTCACTGAAAAATTCATCTTTCGGCAGGAAAATTTAGTTCTAGCATGAAATTATGATAATAACGCACTAAAATTCGGTCCAAGAATCTTAATTTTGAGCTGATATACGGCAGTAGCGTGTGACCGCGATTCGCCGCGAAATACCGTCAGTCAGCTTAAAATTAAGATACTTGGACGGAATTTTAGTGCGATATGATCATAATTCCACGCTAGAACTACATTTTCACGCCAAAAGATGAATTTTTCAGCAAGAAAAAATTTTGGTCCGAGTACTGGAGCTCATTGAGGAGGAATGAAGGGTGCCCATTATTCCTACCCTTACAATGGACGGGTTGCCGGCCTTTGGTTGCTGAACAAAAGTGTGTGTCTGGCGAGCGGTCCGGTCACCCGAGGGCGAGAATGTTGCGTTGCCATTTACAGATTTTAATGCCGAATGAAAGTCTCAGGTTTTGTGAAATGGACTATAGTCTGGTTAATCCATTCAATTTAATGGCTTTCATATTCTAGTGACTTGAGTTTGAGAATTTTTAATGTTGAAATCAGCATCATATGCTGGCTGTAACTTCTGTAAAAAGACTGAACATGTGATTGTAGAAAGATCTAAACCTTAAACTTTGCTTTTTGCTTGTAAATAACTTTTGAACATCCTTCTTATATGTTAAACTTGGGACTTGATATGGTTCTGTGTGATGCAAGGATGGGAGGATGAAATTTTTGCCACAGTGATTTTTCAGCAGAATGGGTTTTTTTCATAACATGTAATAAAAATCATTTTAATTTCTTACCAATAATTATTGCAGGCACTGCTATTCCAGCTATTAATGCTATTCCAACAGGAGCACCAATTAGGGTTCCTAACTGCCAGAGCAATTTTTTCTTTCGAGACCAAGGTTTTTTGCCCCAGAATGTACAACCAGATGGACTGAAACAGATTAGTAGAAGCTAATAAATTGAAGTTCAGAAGAATAAGAGTCATTCTTGACCGGCAAATGCATAAGCTATATAATTCGTCTCAAGGAATTGAACGTAGGGTTGATTTAGAAGCCTCTAAAAGGATATACAGATTCCTGGACCTGCCTGAGCTGAACATTTCCCCTACTCTGCCATTCTAATCCCTGAGCAGCCGGTAACAAGACATAAAGTTTTAAAAACTACAATAGCGGATAACAAGACTCACCCAAAGCCTTGTTACTTGCAGTTGTATTTGTCAAAAATTCATTCTGATTCCTGGACGTTTATGTAGCATTTGATTAAGTTTTTCACAATTATGCAAGGTGCACCAATGCGGAAGGTCCACGGGTGATAGATTCAGTTGTAGCAATCAATCTGTCAATGGCTGCTTTGCAGTGGCCAAGTCTTTGGGGTTGAACCTTCTGATCTAATAACGTTGAGTCAAGATCAGATGCATCAGGCTAGATTCAGACGGACAAAATCATTTGTTGATCATAACAGTCCCGCAATTTTTGCCATATCAGTTCAAACTGACAAGTTACGTTAGTTTCCTTGACTGTATGTTAAACAAGTTTAGCCGATGTTTGGACATGTGTTAGCCATAAGTGGACTTTGTCTCAAATGTGTCTCAACATTTACCTGGATGCTGTTCCGCTCTTGCTACTGCTGAATTGCTGAGCAAGCCCTCACACCTAAGTTTTGCAGCCTATTATGCAATGCTCATGAATTTTCATTGTGTTGAAAACTTTTTGAACTGATTTGTCTGGACTAAAATACCAAACGGCTTTTCTTCATTAATACCCACATCAAATTAAGCAACAGTAGACTGCAAAACAGCTGCGCTTGCCCTCGGTAAGTCGCATAACTCTGCAGTAACAGCTGGAGTTCATTTAGAATGACAATAGTCACATGCTTATGCATATTTTGATAATTTGACAGCCTCAATGTAGCAACGATTTTTGCTGGTCTGCTGAAAGTCACTATGTTGAGAATTACTACACTTTTAGCTGCTCCTTCCCTGCCAAAATCTGTATACCATATCTAATCATCTGTTCAAGTTGCTTTTAGTAATTCAAGTTTGGCAATGCTACTGCAAGATACTGATCAAAATAATGGAGAACACTTTTTGAAGATGAATACTCATTTCAGTAAAGAATAAGGGGGGGAGGGGAAGGCAACACTGAAAACCTCAAATTAATTTAATAGAGGGGGCGAGGAGATACCGGCCACAGTTTGTAGGTTTACAAAAAAAGTGCCTGCTTAATTTCTTCAACTGTCAAAACATCTACAAAAGTATGTCAACATATTAAAAAGTCTCAAAACGTAAAATATCTCTTTTAATGAGACACCTTGGGTTGCTTATTACCTACTGGTTAAAGGTTCATCTTGAAAGGTAGACAAAGATGCATTAAAACGATCAGTAATGCAGACCAAGATAAAAAAAAAAAAAAAAAAAAAAAAAAAAAAAAAAAAAAAAAAACTGAGGACTGAGCTAAATTTTTTGCACTGTCCTAACTTAAATTAATTAGACAGTTCCAGAACACACAAAAGGCTGAAATGTCCTTTCAAGAAACAATGAACATTACTTACTATCCAATAAAACATAAAACATTTCAGGAGTAAACCATGAAAAATTGGCCTTTTACTAACGGTACTTTTACGTGCAGTTTTATACTATTTGCCATTTATCCTATGAATGTACTTTTTTGAATGCTTCAACAGTAGTCACAAAGTAGTAGACATTGTTTGGTGACCTACTGACTATATATGCATCCAACCTTTGTGGTCCACTTACCTAAGATAGTGGAGATCACCGATTTCTTTCAAACACAACCAACAAAACTCTGCACCGCATACTGAGCAAGTCATATGATTACAAGAACCATCATCCATTTTAACTATTAAGACCTGACAACGTGGGCAGACTTTCACATCCTCACCTGTAAAAGTAGAGACTACATTACTCACAGAATTGGCAAAGAAAAGAACGATTATCACAATAAAAAAAATTAAAAATTAGAAGAATAGAAGAATATGGCCTATTCAATATTATAATCGATGAGAATACATCTACATGCGTAGTAATGTCCCACGATAAAATGGGAACTTTTACTTTTTTAAATTATTTGCAAAAAGAATATACTGTACACAGAAACACTTGTGTAGATATACAGTGCCAACGCCAATGTGCATTAAATTCAGCATAGAGCTGATATCTCACTACAGAGGAAAAAAGCTCACACACAAGCACAATTTTCCCTCAAAAAGGTACGCTGCTTGGTGCAACACTAGTAACAACCATTCAGGAAGGCAACTGCGGATGCGTTTTGGCCTTGTTGGGCCAATCCTCAGTGCAGTGCAGCCTCCGGAATATTCTGCTACCAAGTTCGGAAAGGTCATGAAAACCAGCCCAAGACTTGCTGCCAGCAACCGCTTGCCCAAGTCTCAGGCTGGTTTTCACAACCTCTTCGAGCTTGATTGCAGAAAATTCAGGAGGCTGCGCTGCACTGAGGATTGGCCCAACAAGGCCAAAACGCGTCCGCAGTTGCCTTCCTGAATGGTTGTTTCTAGTGTTGCACAAAACAGCATATTACTCTGAGGGAACATTGTGCTTGTGTGTGAGCTTTTTTCCTCTGTAGTGAGGTATCAGCTCTATGCTGATGCATGTTGGCTACAAAAACTCCAACATACCAAATTGAGAGTAAGTTTGACTGTGTGGGCAGTATTCACATATTTTAGATTTCAAGATTTTTTTAAACTTCAGTTTTATATTAAAAATTAAACTCCTTTATTTTTCCCTGATTTCCCTGACTACTCCTTGTTTTTCCAGACCTATATACACCCTGAAAGAAGCAAGAGCTCCTATTATTGATTTCTGCCGGTTTCTTGAAACTGGTATGCCTTGGCACATCTATGTGATACACAGTAAATATACAAATTTTATTAGTGTAAGTCCTTGTAGCTTCTATTCACAGGATGATTTCGGAGCGGAGAGAAAAATTGGACAATACTTACGGAACTGTGTTAACTGTGCTTCTAAACTTAGGAGTATGGATGATGAGTTAAGACTAGAGGCTCGTTTTGCTCTGGCTGCTGTACACGTTTGATTTGGGTGCCACAGAGCCTTGCAGTGGTAACAAAAATAGGCATTGCATCCTTCTCTTCCACACTTAAGCTTGGGACAGCTGGCACAACCATTTGCAACGACTGCATAGCTAAAAAATAAATAAATAGTAAACAATTATTGATGGCCTACAACACTTCATGATTTTAGAGGTAATAAAGCGATACGTTCCTCAAGGAGAGGCTCCGATAGTTGCTGCCTCCAATTTTTATGCAATCTGTGGAAATAAACAGTTCTAGTCGAATGCTTCCAATGATTATCCATAGTATGAGGAATGATGGTCAGTCACATGCATCACCTTCAGTGGTAGCACAATATTTCAGCGATTGCCTTGTGGTTGAAAAGTCACAGGTTCAAATTTGCAGTTGGCCTTTCGTCTTTGAGGCTGCTTGTACCTTTGTTCAAAGAGAAATTCCCTCTTCCTCTTTCCCTCCCCTATTCAGAAGCATAAAATTCTATGAAATGATTAAAAATGATACGCTTCTACTAAATAAAAAAATAAATAAACAAAGAATTATAAACTCATCAGTTTTATCCCCATGAATTGGTGGTGGCTCATTTGGAACTAGTTTCACAGAAACACCAAGACCCAATTTGGAGGAGAAGGAGTTGGGAGTAGCTTTGAATTCAATCACCTACTTTGTTATAAATTTTCTTCTGTGAAAAATTCAAATTCTAGAAATATATTGTGAACTAGAAAATAGTTATTTAACTACTTGCCTTTGACATCAAGTCTTGGGGAAGAATAAAACTTTTTATCTCTTTTTCTTGGTTCAAACTTGATGCAACTTGGTGCGTATTTGTTGAACTTTGATCATTTTACATAATAATCTCACAGAATTTTCCTCTCAAAGAATACAATCTAGAGAGTAGGATATTTTTTGGGTAATAATATTCAACATTAAATTTAGCCTTGATAACAAGAGGTTATATGCGGATTTGAACCTGCCATCTATGTATTTGCCAAGATGCAAGAATTGAGCCATTGAGCTGGTTGTTGGATCAAAACATTACTTATGCAAACTTTGGAAGGCCTCGTTTTACAACATAGTTTGCGGTTTTACCTTTAAAATACTTCCATAACCTACAAAGCACTGAGACTGGAAACTCAGACAAAATTAGTCATTCCTCATGCAAAATTGTCTTTTGACTAGATAACAAATGGCCATTTTAAATGAAAATTTCACTAATTTTTCTTCTGTCCACGCTTAAAAATCAACAAAATTTGGGACAAAAATTTCCCAGTGGTATCCTTGTAAAAGATCAAATTATTTGGGACAATTTTAGGACGTTGAAATGGAGCTACGTTCCTTCATCTGGGTAATGACAAATTAAAGCAAAAATTATTTACCAACAGTCTGGAGCAGGGCACCATCTTGTGTCTGGATCGACAGCCAAAACTCTTCTTACCATAAAATCTTCATATTTTTCATATAGCGCTGGCTCGTTCAAAATCATTCGAATATCTGAAAAAATTCAAGAAGCTGCACAGTCAAAAACGTAACAGTAAACCTGTCTTCTTATAAACTAGGATTTATAGAGCTTATTCAGACAGATAGGCTGAACTTTAAACCATGGTATATCATCGTGCCATAAATAAGATAGGCAGCATATCGACAGTAAAATTGCATGACACTAGTGGTTGAACTGTGTCCTCAATATTGAGTCTTATGAAGAAGTAAAACTTCAACCTGCTTTTTCAATTCAAACTTGATATGATTAGGTGCAATTCTGTTACAGTCGGTCTAAATCAACTTGTACTCAAAGAGATTGACAAAAAATCTGAAAGATCAAATCTCAGCTGGTTTAGATGCGAGGAAAAAATTTATCTTACCATTTGGATGCATAGGTTCTGAGCACTCCGGACATGTGATAATGATTCTGGATTCAGTGATTTCAATGCGCAGATAGTGCTGCAAGCAATCGAGGCAGCACCAATGAGAACAGGTAGATAATTTGGGGAAACATTCTGGTGCCATTTCGTCCAAACATAGTGGACACTGCATTTTGTTCGACTGAAACATTGACAACAATACATAATTATTAATAATGGGCATTCCATCAAGTATCTTCAATTTCAAATTATTAATAATTTAGAAAAGGCACCTAATGAAAAAACAAAGCCAATATGATACAGCAAAATTTACCGAAGGAGACTAGAAATTTTCCCAGAACATTGCAGAAGAAATAGATGGCACTGCACCCAGTCAAACAAAAACTTAGCTGAAGTATGGGACAGTTAGATAAGAAAAAAATCATTTATAGCACATGATAAGATGCATCACTTGATCAAATGGCAAGCCAAATGAAAGAAGCTGTGTCAGCTCAGGATGAAAATCAAGGCTACTAACAATAGGTGGACAGTAAAACTGGTGAAAGTGATGTGATGTTGCAAGAGTGCTTGAGCTCAGACATTAATATTAGAAAAAAGTCATTCGCCGATTAATCCCTATCAACAGCCTTAGACAAGTTATTAAATGAGCTAAAATAACACTCAGGATAAAATTTGATCTGATCAAGATTTAATGGCTGATAATAAAACAACTGTTGCTTTAACAAACGCTGCAGAGGCTCTATTTAACGAGTGCATTTTATTGCCCAATAAATTATCATTGCGAGTCGACGTCAACAACATTCAAAAGAAGCACTCTTACAGCAAATTTCCCAGGCACTAGCGTGAATGCCAAGAGCTGGTGTAGAGAGTTTCACAGTTACGCAGTTGACGGAATTGATTCAAATTTTAAAAATTCTTACAGTCTAGAGTAAGGTGCACGAGACGTCCTATAAGGATTTAAGACCAGTACTTCCACATTTTAGAAATTTGAGAGTTGTTTATCAAATACAGAGTGGAGTAAGTGAGTGCTTTTGGTATCGGAAAGTACGCTCAAACTTGGAGAGTACCGATTTAAAGGTCTTGTTTGGCCTTGCATTTATCTGTGATATGATAAAAGGTGACAACTCACATTATGTGCAGAATCAGGTGGTTTTAGGACCTTGCCCAATTTTTTTTCTTTGCTGGATGGCATGGAAACAATTGAAATTGATTGAATGAATCAAACCGCAACACTATGAGGAAACTTTCAGGGGCCTAACTTTCACTACCAGTTGTGCATAGTTGCTGGCACTAGACCTCGATAAAACAGACAATTAACAGGAGGGACATGACTCTAGAGAAGTCTTCATAGATAGGAGTGAAAAAATTGCGACTAGAGGAGACTGGAGTGACACAATAAATGGTGAATCATCAGCATTTCTCAACCCTGAGCCAAGGAACTAGGGTGCACAACGGGGTGTAAACTGCACTTGGGAGAGGCTGCAACCACGTTTAAGCTAATCAGCGGTTTAATAGAGTTCCACTGCCGGTCGAATATAATTAAAAACAGGTAAAATGCTATCACGAGGTAAATTAATCACGGGAGGATTGTATTTTATCAACTAAATTCAACTTATCAAAATTTCCCGAACAGTCGATTATTATTTTTGTTTTGGAAGGGAATTCCGTTGCCACGTTCCTCTGCTTTGTTACGGTTCACAACAACCGACGGCGGAACGTCAGCCCGTTTCCGTTTTCATTTGGTTTCGTTTACATCCGTTTCCGTCTCGGATTCCCACCTGGTTTCCGCCCTCCCCTTTCTCGGTCATTTTTAGTATATTTTCCGAAGAAAATTCACTATTTAGTTGTTCGTGTTCACTATTTTTGAGTTTTTCGGAACCCGAATTCCAACAAAGTGGTCCATTAAGGAGATTGAACTGTAGGTGCTGCACGATATTTCAGTTGCAATCAATCCCGTGTCAAGATTATTTATGGTCTGATCTGAGTAAATGAGTATAAAACGAATATTGTAAAAACAAAAAATAGACAAATCGATGTAAAAGTCGCATGACCAAAGACCGCATAACACGGATCTATCTGGAAATTTTTTTACTCAATTTAAAAAAAAAAAAAAAAAAAAAAAAAAAAAAACCAAACTAAAGTTTTTGTTCGAGATTTTCATAGAATTCTCTGCACTTACGTACATGAGCATGACATAGGAAAATCAGTGAAAAGTCCAAGACATAATTTCCTTTGAAATTCATTTCCTTTCCGCAATTTTCCTCGGAGTGGTAAAAATGTGAATGGTGCTATTTACGACATTGCAAATAAAACGAAATGATTTGCGATTTTAATACAACTGTTTTTTGTTATTGAAATGCGAAGGCGGATGCGCATAACTCGGCCTCGCATCTTACTCCAGAATTTCTGACATCAGGCAGCCATCGATATCCATCAACGGGAATAATTTTGGAAGGAGAAAAAAGACAAATGAACATAAATTAGCTGATGAGCTGGCATGCGTGTGCTGACCTAGACCTACGCCTCTTAAACTATTTCGGACTCCTCTTACAAATCACACGCCATTATTCATGTTATCTGTCGCTCCAAATTCGCGAATAATTTGACGGACGGTTTTGTTTACCTGCGCGTTTGAGCTACCGGAAGGGCGATGAATGATTCATACCCACATAGCACAGAATATTGATATAATACTACAATAGTACTGACACGTCAGTAGTGTCNTGACTCAATACTGTTGTTTGATATATTGAAGGTATCTGTGTTATATTAATGCTGACGCGGTAAACCTTTTATCCGACAATCTTAATATCATACTGCATTAGTGTTGGTGATATCGTGTCAACATCCAACAATATGTATCAGTATTGACAAAAGATTCTGTGCTATGTGGGTACCTACAATTGATTTTCGCAGATTTTCTCGCAAATGTTTTTATGGGGAAATCCCGAAAAAATCGCTAGACCTGTGCCTGTACTTTCAGAAATCCGAAGTGCATTTCACCCTGTAGCCCACATTTTATTCAAAAAAAAAAAAAAACCCCCCGAGCGATATAAATAAGAAGCGAAGTCTGCCCCAAAGACCTGTACTCCGTACTCCGTAACTCCATAGCTCCGAAATAAATGTTGATTCCGCCCTGAGAGGGAGGAGGTTCACTCCGCAAAAAGAGCAGTTTCTGCTCTCAACCTTTATCACTCGAGTTTTTTTGGCGGGGTTGGGGGGGGGCGAAATAAACTCCAGAATGAAATTTACCCTGGACTGCACTTGACACTTGACAGCGTACTTACAGAAAAACGTAACTACATGTCAACGTTGCAAAATTTTCACTTACAATTTTTTTGTTCATTTTTTTTTCTAGTATAAAACTGCATGCTATAATGTTTCATGAAATTTTGCATCTCTGCCCGCCAGTCGCGTGGTCTAGGATTTCCTGTGCCCCCGCAAAACATTCGAATTTGATAAGGAAACAAAGCTCGAATTTTGTGGGCTACTGTTAACCACAGATTGTGAACCCTGGTAAAAATTGGCGGTAGAATGTGTGTTCCAAAATACTATAGACCTAAAGCCGGCTGTAAGATTTCCAATAGCTTCTGTAGCCGGCTGTACAATTTCTTATAGCCTTTTATAGCCGATGGCGATTAAGCAACAGCCAGACGATAAAGTTTATGCTAAACGTTATTACTAAATACGAATACAAGGACTTAGTTAGTTTTTGGACTACCGCTCTCTATTTGTGCCGTAGTATCTTGTTTTATTTTGCGAGGAAAGCTCCGTACTTTTGAAGGATGCCTGTCATTCTTAATACGTTGGAGAGCCTTCAATTCCTTATGATACTGTGCAATACCTCTAGTGTGAAATAGTTGCTTCAGACGCCGTGGCACACTGCGGCGCGGTGGGCGGGCAGAGAGCGCGAAACGCGCATTGGCGCCTACAAACCTAACAGGGATACTTCACGCATTGCGCAATGCGTGAAGTATCCCTGTTAGGTTTGTAGGCGCCAGTGCGTCACCACTCCGCTTTGTGTTAGGCTCTAATATTTAATCTCACGGAGTCAGTGTTTTTCAACTCATGATTTTGAAATGTTTGCACACTCTGTATGGACTATTCTCATTTTAATTGATAAAAAAAAAAAAATATGTTTTAAAGGAAAATATAATGTGTGTTTTGTAAATATAAAGGTAGTCCGTATCAAACTTAATGATTTCCAAAGCACACGAATTTCTGCACAATTTCTCATAGCCTTTTATAGCCAATGGCGATAAAGTGTAAAGCCCGGCAATAGGAACTACAGCCCGACTGTATACTTTTTTATAGCTTCGTATAGCCCGGCTATATGATTTGCTCCGCTTTCTAGAGCCAGATGTATGATTTTCAATAGCCTTCTTTAGTCGGCTATATGAACTCCTATGGTATTTTGAAACGCAGCTCCTATCGCCAATTTTTACCAGGGAACCCTAACCTAGATTCGACTTTAAATCGGGAAGACTATATTCTATTCTCTCAAGCTGTACGCGAGTTGAATTTGTTTTACAGCAGGCATCTTTAGTAACTTAGTTACTTTTTTTTTTCAATTTGATGAATTAATCTAAGCGCCCTACTTCGGTACAATAACGACAATAACATACGAATGCAATTAGCGGCACACTTTGTTATCGGGAGCAGAAAAAATTGAAGGCGCTCTGGCTTTTTGAATGGCTAGGTCTGGATGCAACTATTCGTGTTCTCTGGATGTCCATGTTGCATACACAAGAGATTGCAGGCGCTCTTGCATTCTTAGGTACACAGCACCGGTTCCGAGGGTTGTCTACAATGGCAACTACAACCGTATTTACATTCAAATCCTCGAAATACAAATGAGTCGTGTGTGCAGATTTTTGCGAATTATCTTGTGGAGAAAACATTTCTACAGAAGCATTACAGGTGCCAATCCCATCGTGAGTTCTCAAAAATGTTCTGGGTTGCATTTCCAATCGTGTTAATCATGGAATCCTCGAAATTCGGATGAGTCATGTCTCGTGCAGCATGGCAGCGTTAGGTAGAAAACGATCAAATGACAGGTCGTAGCAATGGACCACTAGACAAGGTACGAATTTCAGCATTCTGATACATGATTCGTAACTAAAATTTCACGTAGAATACGACGCGCACAACGAAAATTACTGAATTCAACTCCTTCCAAAG